ATGTGTGTGTGTTTGTGTGTGTCTGTGTGTGTGTGTGCGTCCGTCCGTGTGTGTATGTGTGTGTGTTTGTGTGTGTCTGTGTGTGTGTGTACGTATGTGCGTGCGTGCGTCCGTGTGTTTATGCGTCCGTGTGTGTGCGGGCGTACGTACGTCCTGTGTGCGCCCGTACGTGTGTGTGTGTGTGTACGTGTGTGTGTACGTGCGTGTGTTCGTGCATGCGTGTGCGCGTACGTGCGTGTTTTACCTCTATCTCTGTGTACGTACGTGCGTGCGTGCATGCGTGTGCGCGTACGTGCGTGTTTTACCTCTATCTCTGTGTACGTACGTACGTGCGTGCGTGCGTGTGCGCGTACGTGCGCGTTTTACCTCTATCTCTGCGTACGTACGTGCGTGCGTGTGCGCGTACGTGCGTGTTTTACCTCTATCTCTGTGTGCGTGCGTGCGTGTTTTACCTCTATCTCTGCTCCGGTGATCACAACCCACTACGACGGACAACCATCACAATGCAACCTGCTGCACTCATGCGTGTTTTCGCTTGCTCTATAGATCCACCACCACTGATGACATCATAAATAATATTATCACCACTACGACCCGGATCCTCTCTGAGTCTCCGTGATTCAGTCAGTGCTACAGCCCTACACCAGCATCTTAGAGACCCAGTCTCTAACGACTGCGTCTCTAAGACTGAGTCTCTAAGACTAAGTCTCTAAAACTGAGTCTGTAAGACAGTCTCTAAGACTGAGTCTGTAAGACTAAGTCTCTAAGACTGCGTCTCTACGACTGAGTCTGTAAGACTGCGTCTCTAAGACTGCGTCTCTAAGACTGCGTCTCTACGACTGAGTCTGTACGACTGAGTCTGTACGACTGAGTCTCTAAAACTAAGTCCGTGAGACTGAGTCTGTAAGACAGTCTCTAAGACTGAGTCTGTAAGACAGTCTCTAAGACTGAGTCTGTAAGACTGAGTCTCTAAGACTGAGTCTGTAAGACTGAGTCTCTAAGACTGAGTCTGTAAGACTGAGTCTCTAAAACTGAGTCTGTAAGACAGTCTCTAAGACTGAGTCTGTAAGACTAAGTCTCTAAGACTGCGTCTGTAAGACTGCGTCTCTACGACTGTGTCTCTAAGACTGAGTCTCTAAGACTAAGTCTCTAAGACTAAGTCTGTACGACTGAGTCTCTACGACTGCGTCTCTACGACTGCCACTCTATAACCACTGCCGAGTCGCAGTAACCTTCTCACCACGTACGATGAGAGAAGCGAGATGAGAGAAGCGAGGCGGTGTCTCCAAAACAAAAACCCGTCTCACACGAAGAACGACGAACGACGAACGAAGAAGCAAGCGAGACAGTCTATATATAGGTAAAACTCGTAAAACTCGCGCAAAAAGCCGATTCTCACTGCGTGTAGTCAGTCTCTCGCACTTATCGTTATCTGTGTACTTGCGAGTAAGTATATCTATGCGTCTCTAAGTAAGAGTGCGTCTTGCCACGTGCTAGGAAGCGAGAGAATGCAGAAACACTCGCGGTCACAGCTGATCCTATCTGTGAGTAGTCCAGATATAGGCTATTGCATAGGCTATATAGGCTCCGGCACTTATCCTTATGTAGTCTCTTGCACTTATCCGTATACGTAGTCTCTTATCCGAACTACAAGACTGTATAGGTATAACTCGTGGCCCCAGCCGATCCTATCTGTGTGAAGTCTCTTACACTTATCCAGTTATCCTTATAGTTCCCGAAGAGTAACCCTCGCTACAGATCCCACGATCACAGGTCGTTAGGATCTGTCCGCAGCATAACACGATCACAGGTCGTTAGGATCTGTC